GTACATAGATCTACTTCCCTATCATTATATATAAATATATTTACATATTTTTATGAAAGTTTGTGTCAACATCTGTCCATCCAGGTGTAGATAAGTATTTTGCCTATTTTAAGATACCCACATGTAGCAGGACTGAAATACGCTGGTTCTAATCCAAATATACCGTTTACATGTACCTTTGCTTTCTGTTAACTGACATTGTCTTGCTTTTGAACTTCATTTCTTCTGGTGGTAGATAGAAGCTTTTCAATGCCAGTTTAAAGTAAGTCGCGCACCACCCCACCTTGTTTAACAAGAGTCTTTCTGAGGCGTAGACTCAGTCAAGCTTGAGTCTGGATTCTCAGGCTGACTTTCACTCGCAAGAAGTCTCTGCTTTCTCTCTTTTTCCCTCACAATGGCACCTGAGCCCATGGAGACCTAGCAGAGCCTTCCAGTTGGGAAGAGGGTGCTCTGTATACTGCCCTAGTGTTGATGTCCTCTCCTGCTTTTCTCGCTAATTATCATTTTGGCCTTCTGCCTCGGGCCTTGAAGTGACCACAGCTGATGTAGCTTCTGACTGGTTCTCTTAGGACAAGCAAGGCATGATAATTGCCCCAAACTCCTTGACCGTCTCCCCTGCTAATGAGGACAGACCTGACCTTGTTCTTGTCGGTGTTGAAGCCTGAAGTCTGCCTCCCGTTCACTCCATGGCTTGGGCAGCCTGATTTCAGACTTGGGTTGCAGGCTCAGTTTGTCGCTGTCTATAATCCCACAAGTCTGAATCAGTTGGGGCACGCTCACACATACATAGCCTTGGTTTCCTTCCGTGTCGTCTACCATAGGACACATGAAATCTTCTGGAACATTCCTATACCTCCTTGACACCAGAAAAGATGAGGGATGTTTATATCGTTGCCAGCTCTGTGAAGTCACCCTTTCCACTACTTCTCTCGTCTTAGAGTTTACCCATTATTCGTTGGGCATGTTACCCTGCCAGGTCCTCGGTTCACGGAGTCCCAGACAGAAAGAGGACCCAGGCGCCCTTTGGTTGGGGGGGCTCTTCCTCAAGCTTTCTCCAGTGGTGTTTTCTGGGGGACTCACTTAGTCTCGATAGCCCAGTCCCTGATAATAAAGCTGGGTGTTTTGTTTTCTTCCAGGGGAGGAGATAATCGTCTTTTTCTCTGCCCTGTTCATAAGAGTGGCCTTTGTGGTCGTTTTTCTGTACATTCCAAACCCAGTGTTTGAAGTAAGAAACGAGACCTGATGTTCTGTGTTGTCCCACTGTCAGACCTCTTTGTCCCCAAAGCACTGGCGTCCCCGGCCACCCGCAAGAAGCCTGCCGTTCTCATGCTGCTAGCCGGCTGCCTTCACTATTGGATAGTAAGTGCTGTGACTCGTTGCTGTTCTTTTCCAGAGAGCTGCTTTTGCACATTTTCCAGAGCTCTATGATTTTGCCCTCTCCAATGTGGCTGAAGTAGATACGCGGGGGTCCCTGGTGAAGTATTTCGGCCCTCTGAGGTAAGAATAGCATGACCGGCCAACTGTGTGCTTTCCCTGGGGGTCATAGCACTTGAGCTTCACTTTCTCTGCACTTTCTCTGTTGTCTTTAATCCCCTTTACAATGAATTGCACTGCTTGGGGTGGTGGTGGTGGTGGGCCACTCTTTATTGTTATCTGCGATTAGAGTGCTCCCTGGGAGTTGGGTCGCTTGAACTCACTTGTGTGAAATCACTTTTGCTCTATTTGTAAAATTTGTATTTTAAATGGCTTATTTAAGTTTTTCTAGATCTTAACTTTTTTTTAAATCATTTTATTGGGGGCTCATACAACTCTTATCACAATCCATACATATACCCATCGTATTGAGCACATTTGTACATTTGTTGCCATCATCATTCTCAAAACATTTGCTTTCTACTTGAGCCCTTGATATCAGTTCCTCATTTTCCCCCTCCCTCCCCTCATGAACCCTTGATAATTTATAAATTATTATTTTGTTATCTTAGCATTTTTCTTACAGTACAGCGTAAACTGGACTTCTTCAGTCATCAACACTACATACCAGAAACTAATGGTGTATTATTATATGTGATATGAAGAGGTGTAACTTATAATTTCATGTGTTTATAATTTATGAAGTCAGTAATACTCCCCTGGTGTCAACCTGCTCTTTCAAAAACCAGTAACAGCCAAAGTGTATTTACTTGGGGATAGTGTTCTGCTAAGCATAGGAATAATTTAATCCTCAAAAGGATTGGTACCACTTTATATATAAAGAAACCGAAGCATAGAATCGGTAAATAATTTGCCTAGATCACAAAGCAAGCAACTGGAAAAGACAAGCTTTGAACCCAGGCTGTCTGGATTCTGAGCCTCAGATTTTAACCATTATGTTGTATAAGGGGGCTCCTAAACAAGTTTTTAAAACATTTTTATTATTAATTAATTGGGGGTCTCTTACAGATCTTATAACAGTCCATAATTCAGTTGTATTATACTCTTAAACATATGGTGCCATCATTTCCAAAACCCAAAAAGTCTGTGGGAAAATTCCCATTATCCTTCAATTCCATTTCTCCACAGACAGTTTGGAGCTCCCTCGTGGTTTCTTCTCGTCTTTAGAAGAAATTAGTTATATTTAGTTCACTGACCATTTAAAATGCAACCAACTGAGGTTGGTTGGTTTGTTCATTTTAATAAGATGATTCAGTAACTCATATAATACCACATAAATCTTCTTTTTCCTTTTAATAGCTACATACAATTCTGTGAACTGTTTTTTTAATCACTCTCCTTATCCATGAATATTGATATTTTGCTATTGTAAACAATCTGCAACAGTTTCCTTTATGTTTTCATGTATAAAACTTGGTTTTGATGCCCTAGAACATATAGAGTCAGTGGAAATAAGGGGTTTAAAGTGTGGTGCCTGTTACTAAACTTCCTTCCGCAAAGGCTCCCTCATTCCCGCATTGACACTTGCACCAGTAGTGCTATCGCTAGGTCAAGGACGCATCAGTATTTGGCAATTCGAGAACATCAACAACCAGAAAAAGCAGCTTACTCAGCGTGCTCTGATTTTGCTCAGAAATGGAACATCTCCTGCTCTTAAAGTCATTTGCATTTCTTTGTGAATTTCTCATAAATATCCTTTTCTGTTTGGATTGCCTTGCTTGTCTTAAAAATAGATTTTATTTTTTAGGAGTCTTTACATGTCCTGGATACGAATCCTTTACCTAGTTTGTGCTGTACACATTTTCTCTTCCTTTCTTACTTCTTTTAAAATTGTGTTTGGTTTCTTTTGGAATTATAGCTGTTGTACGTTTTCCTTTAGTCTGCGCTGATACCCTTAGGTGGCAGGGTGAGCCTGGAAGGCCCGGTGGTAAAAGACCCAGCTGCGAACAAATAGGCCATGCTCGAACCCCTCTGCCTTGTGGGGGAGAGCTGTGGATGTAAAGAGCCCTGCGGGGCACTTCGGTACTGTCCTTTGGGGGTGCTTGGAACAAGAATCCACACCAAGAACATGGTTAGTTGGGGTTTTCAGAATATGTAGAAGACTGACCAGAAGGTTATAAAAGCACCATCATGTGTTTGTAGAACACTTTAATGGGGCTTTTTTGGTCTCGATTGGTTGTTTTCACATTTCATTTTGTGGCATAATCTATTTGGAGGATATGTTTTTCCCCTCCAGTTCCTCACAAACTTTGGTTTATATCGATTGATATTTAATACTAAATTAGAATTGTAGCATTACGTAGAAGAACTATGTTACCATTAATATTGTTAGTGGAAAATATGTTTTCCAAAGTGAGAAAAAGTGTATAGTGAGATGAGTGGTATTTTTTTTTAACCTTCTGTGTAATCTCTGTACTGGCTTACTTAGAGACAGCTGGACTTCTCTGGGTTGGCTTCTGGGCTCCATGTGTTGTGGCGTGGAAGTAAATGAAGAAAATCCACCTTTCCCCAGTTCTGTGATAAGAAGAGGGAAACAAGCATTTCTCAATAGCTTTTCCACTGGCTGATGCTTTACCAGAATGCAACAGGGCAACTTTCGTCAAAGTTCGTTTTCATGTAGAATCTGAAACCTTGTCAAGGAACTGTATACAATTAAAGGGAATTGAATTAAAAATAAAAAGCTCTCACTCATGTAGGAGAGACCTCAATAATGTTAGCATGTGACTCCCCCCCAATAATCTGTAGATATTGTGTGATCCCAGGCTAATTCCCAGCAGGATGTTCTCACAGAAGTTATTTACAGGCCTACCAACATTTACAGGGCAAAAGTAGAAAAACTAAAAGAGGAAAAAACCCTTTGAAAATGAACAAAGTTGGAGGACTTGCATTACCTGATTCTAAGATGTGCTATAAAGTGATAGCGTGCGACATGACATTGACCAAAGCAGGAGCACATAAACCAGTGGAACCAACAGCAGACCACATGTATATGGTCACTGATTTTCTGCTAAAGGTGCCAAGGCCGCGCATTAAAAAAGCAAGGCTACAGTTCTGGAACAGTTCAAAGCCATATTCAGATTATGGGCTTTGATCCAGACCTCCAATACTCAGTACATCATAGGCCTAAATGCCAAGAAGGATCAATAGGAGATCTTTGTGATCTTGGCTCAGGAAATGATTTCTTCAAACACCAAACACAATTAATAAAAGAAAAAAAAATGCACTTGGAATTAAACTGAAAACATTGAGTAAAGTGGCAGGCTTACTGTACTTCGTGAAATGAGAAGCCATTGAAAGGCTTTGAGGTGTAACGAGTCTCTGTGTGGAAAAGAGAGTGTGAATAGGAAGGGGAAAGGCAGGAGACCTCTTAGGAATCCTGTGTAATAACCCCAGTCAGAGAAAGGGAACAAATAATTTTACTCTCTGCAAACATGGCATGTAAGGACAAATCATGCATGAAGCAGAAGAACATACTTGTGAAACATATACAGTATTGCTCATATATAAGCACATATATAGGTTTTTCAGCACATTTTTAATGCAGTTTTTATGTTAAAATTAGGTGCCTTGGCTGATATTTGTGTCGACTTATACTCAAGTATATAGGTAATCGATAATGAACTGGTATCCAGAAGTCTCAGCCCTTAATAAGATTATAATACCGGTAATAAAAGGGCAAACGTTTTGAACAAATACTTTGCTAAAGAAAATGGGCAGCTAACAAGTCTGAAAAGATGCTTTACCATTACTTAGTGCTGCTGTTGTTGGGTCCCAACAAGTGGGTTCTGATGAATAGCCACCCTGCGTATAGCAGAATGATATTGAGAAACATCCCAGCCCAGTCCAGATCAAATCCATAAGTCTGATATTAGCCCCTATGTCCGATACTAGTTCATAAATTCCTCTTTAGATTCACGCAGCCATGCAATAATGCTGAATGCAGGAAGATCACAGGCCAGTGGGTGGAATGTCTTGTGGATCCAGTGGCGGTGGAAGCATTTTAATGCTGGCGTGGGTCTCCATACGGCTCCTCCACTTTCAGGGCTATGGTTTCATCAGTGTAGCTCCATGTGGCTTGTCAGCAAGAAGACAAAGCAGAGAGTCTGTGTGTATCTGGCCTCCAGTGAGCTCTTTTTCTCTGTGGCGCCTCCAAATGAGGTCATCAAGCTGCAACCTGATTGACAGGCTAGACTCCACCCCTTTGCAAGTTGGCACCAGATTACATAACTGGCACAGGAGGCTTGCAGCTCTTTTCATTTTGAGTTATGCCTCATCAGCAACTGAATATTTCAGAAACTTTTCTCCATCCCTTCCTTACAGTGATGTGTTTAAAGCATAAGTCATTCTGCATTGAGGAGGCAGCTTCTCCTTAGTCTTGTTTTTAGTGCTTTCCAACCTCAGGGGCTCATCTTCCAGCACTATATCAGACAGTGTTCATAAGGTTTTCAGCGAATAATCCCTCAGTGTCTCATTCTGTTGTACACTGTGAGTCAGCAGTGACCTGAGCGTACTTAACCACAATCCCTGAGAAGTGCACTGCCTCCTCCTTTCCTGGTCTGTACGCGGGCAGCTCCGCTGAAACCAGCCTGTCGTGGGGGACCCTGCTGGTAATGAAATTTTGGTGGTGTAGCTTCCAGTATCACAGCCAGAAGAAAGCCTCCAGACAGGTGATGATGGCATTGTGATCCCCTCCTGCCACCCTCACTCCTGTTCGGTCAAGTAGGGTTCATGGTGACCCTATCCTGACTCTCCTAGACTGTGAATCTGTACAAGAGCTGCCTCCTCTTTCTCCTGTGGAGCAGCTGGTGGTGTAAACTGCCGATCCTACAATTAGTAGCCCAACGCCAACCCTGCAGCTCCACTAGGGCTTTCCTCAGCATTGAACTAACGTCACATGAGGCGTGTGCCGTTACATTAACTTATTAGAATTGTTCATGGAAAAACAAGAGGGATGGTATTGACTCTTTGCACATAAAGAGAAATTGGACGTCATACATTGCTGGTGGGAATTAAAACTGATAGCTTCCTTGGAAAATTTTGATAGTGGCTTGTAAAATTATACACACTTTATGCAACCCAACAAATACAGATATCCCCGTGAAAAGTAGTGTTCTCATAGAAATCTATAAAAATGTATACCAGGGCTTTATTTATAAAAGTTAAATGCTGGGAACAACATAAATACCTTTTAATTGCTCATCAAATAAGTAAACTGTGATGCGTTTTTATAATAGAATGTTACTCAGCAATAAAAAGGAAGCCAACAGGATAGGAGAATCTCAAATGCATTATTCTTTGTGGAAAATGATCCCAATTATTTAATCGTCGGGAAAGGATACCTTCTAGCATTAGGAAACAGATCAGTGGTTTCCAGGGCCTTGGATGGGCAGTGGGGTGGATTATAAAAGAGCAATTTGGAGCAGATAAGGTCTCTTGTAACTACTGGCAAGCTGCCATGTTTCATATTTGAAGTCAAGTAGACGATAAAACATACAACTTTCCTCTAGTTCCTGAATGCTTCCTTCCCCACCATCATGATCCCAATTCTACCTTGCAAGTCTGGCTAGACCAGAGGATGTACACTGGTCCAGATAGGAACTGGAAACACAGGGAATCCAGGGCGGATGATCCCTTCAGGACCAGTGGTGTGAGTGGCTATACTGGGAGGGTAGAGGGAGGGTGGGTTGGAAAGGGGGAACCGATTACAAGGATCTACATATAACTTCCTCCCTGGGGAGATGGACAATTGAGAGGTGGGTGAAGGGAGACGCCGGACAGGGCAAGATATGGCAAAATAATAATTTATAAATGATCAAGGGTTCATGAGGGAGTGGGGAGCAGGGAGGGAGGGGAAAAATGAGCTGATGCCAGGGGCTTAGGTGGAGAGCAGATGTTTTGAGAATGATGAGGGCAATGAATGCACAAATGTGCTTTACACGACTGATGTAGGTATGGATTGTGATGAGTCGTATGAGCCCCTAATAAAACGATTAAAAAATATGTTTTTACCTGAATGTTCTCTATCCTGCAGTTCAAACACACTCCACCAGGTGGCATCATACCTCTGCTTGCTGCCAACCCTTCCTAAAAATGAAGACACAACCTTTGATAAAGGATTTCTTTTGGAATTGTTGGTAAATACCATTAATTTTTAAATTGTGTGTGTGTGTGTGTGTGTGTGTGTGTGTGTGTGTGTGTGTGTTTAACCTTCCTTTCTGAGTCATCTCAAAACTGGGTCTGGAACAGCTTTCCTCTAGAGCAGTGGTTCTCAACCTTTAGGGCTCAATCGACCCTTTCACAGGGGTCGCCCAATTTATAACAGTAGCTAAATTACAGTTCTGAAGTAGCAACAAAAATAGTTTTATGGTTAAGGGGTCACCTCAACATGAGGAACTTTGTATTAAGGGGCTGCGGCATTAGGAAGGTTGAGAACCACTGTTCTAGACCGAAGAATTCCCACCTCTTGGAATGGCATTATCATTTGGTTTTGTTGGGGGTTCTCCCCACCCCCCATGCCCCCATCTCTTGAACTTCGCTGATCGAGCCCTTTACCTCTTTAAATGCTGATGACATTGATCTTTTGGTGACTCTGTGAGCAGTCTCCGAGTCAGATGCTAGACTGGGGCATTGAGGGAATGGATAGCTGACACCCTTCCTGCTTTTAAGGCAGCCCCTGCACCGCCCGCCCCCCATTCTTCGGTCTAGAACAGTGGTTCTCAACCTTCCTAATGCCGCAGCCCCTTAATACATACAGTTCCTCCGGTTGTGGTGACCCCTCAACCATAAAACTATTTTTGTTGCTACTTCATAACTGTAACCCCCTCTAACAATACATGTAAATTCACACATCTGAATGCTAACTTTCAAAATCAGTCACTTAAATTTAGTACCTTGAATACCAAGTCCTATACTATTGTCATTAGCAAATCTCAGGGATCCTTTACAAGTAATTGAAGGGATTTTCTGAATCATTATTGGAGATGAGGGGCTTTAGCTCCCAAACTAATACTTTTTTTGTAATTAGTTTTAAAATTAAAGTAATATATCATTTTAGAAATAACCCATTACTGAGGCATATAAAGTTACAAAGTGGAAAATCTTATCCTTCTGACTTCAAATTTGCCCCCATAGGTAACAATTTTATCTATATCCCCCCGATGTTTTTAATTACTTTTTTAACTTTATGTGCCTCTCTTCAATTATATATAATGGATGAGTACTATCAAAACTATACTATGGAAATGAATAGACCAAAACAGACATACTTGTAGGACTTTTTATTATGGATTTACATGTAAGTACACATCATAAAGTAATCCAGTTTTGTGTGTATTTTGTAAACAAATTGGATCAAACTTAGTAGTTTTGTGGCCTGCCTGTTATCCGCATGTGAGGCTCCACTTGGGGAGTCGGTTGTTTGAGTGATACGTTGTTGCTAGTTGCCCTGGAGTCCGTTCTGACCGGTGACAACCTGGTGTGTGGGTGTGTGCCCAGTAGAACTGCACTCCTTAGGGCTTTCAAAGCTTTGGCCTTTTCGAAGCAGATTGCCTGACCTTACTGCTGGGTGGTCTTGAACCATTATCCTTTTTTTGTGTGGGTGTGTTTGTCGTCTAGCTCGTCACCACTGAACCACCCAAGGACTCCTGGGGCAGTACCCCCAGGATACTCACTGCCATCCAATTGATTCCAACCCATAGTGACCCTCCCTATAGGACAGGGCACAACTGCCCTTGGGGGTTTACCGGTCTGTAATTCCTTATGGGAGTAGAATGTCCCAATGCTGCCAAATTAACCTACAAAAGGTATGTATTTCTACCAACATGATACTCTAAGTCTTTAACAGCGTAGGATATATCTTTTCAAACCCTTTTTTGACAGTGTGAATGGAGGGGGTTGGTGGGTGGGCAGGGAGATAGCCAGTTTTACTGTTCTGTTTCCTGACTGCTGTTAGGTTGGTCGGCTTTTTGTATGTTTTCAAGTGACCTGACATTGGAGGGATAGAAGTCCGTGACATAAAAGCACATTTATGAATTGTTGACTGCCATCAAACTTTGTATTAAGGGGCTTAATCTGCTCTGTAAACTTGTACCCGATTCACCCTAACAAGTTTGTCCCACTAACTTTTTAAAGCCCCTTCACGCATTTTTTGTGCACATACAAAACCATACAAGGCACACAGTTTTGTGACTTACTTTCCAGGCGAATACTTTTAATGCAGGGTGTAAAGTGCAGTCCTTTACCAGAAGATAGACAGTGGTGTGCTCATTTTGGGGCCAGTGACAAGACACCATGTGTAGCAGATGTTAAGGCCTAGTAACAGGTGTTTAATGACTGGAGAGAAATCCTTAGGAAGGGCTTTAAAATTAATTTAAGTAGAAAAATCCTATTTTTACCACAGTAGTCAGTGCATGAAGTGAATGGCTCAGATTGCCTGCCTTATGACTCCTTGCTCATTGTCTCGGAGCACAGGCGCTTTCTAAAAATCCCTGTGATATTTTCTGGCAACATAAAGTCTCTCCTAAGTCAAACCCCGCTCAGAAGTTTGGAATCCATAACAAATCCTGGCTATAGAAAGAAATAAGGATTTCCCCGGACTCTTTCTAATGGAAGATAAAGTTGATCCTGTGCCTTTCAAGATCTTATGGATAAAATTCTTTCTTAGTTTTACCACAAAAAAAAAAACACACCAAAAACTTTAAGAATCTATAGTGTAACCACATCCTTCATTTCCTCCTTTTTCACAGGTTTCCTTAGGGCTTGGCAGCCTTCTAAATTGAAATTGTGATGAAAAGTTTGAAATGTGCATATTACCGGGGTGTTATCATAGTATCATTTTCCCCCTAAGGTAGTATCAGTGCTGAAGAGAGCTTGACACATTTTCCCAAAGATATGATTTTAGTGTCTGTAAATTAGGTGATATTATTTTTATCTTACTGAAGATAGATGGTTAAACTGTTGGCAGTGAAAGCATCTATAGATCATCAAGTTCAAGGCTCTCGTTTTGCTAAGTAGAAAGCCGAGGCCACGGCCCTTCCCGGACTGGGTGGCTAGTGAGAAAAGGACTGAAAGCTGTATCCCAGGATCGAGGGTTGAAGCTCTTCGTTTGCAAGCCTCAGGCACTGCTTGGACGTATTGTTTCATTTCGTGAGAAACCTGGGAGGTGGGTGGCCTTGTATTTAGCTTACTGAAAAGGACCCTCAGATCACCTCCCCAGGTTTCACATCGTTCCTAAGTGGAAGACCTAGGATGTCAACTTCAGTCTGATTCCAAAGCCCACCCCACTTTAAACTCTGTCATTGTTGCAGAATATGGGAAAAGAAAAGAAAACAAATGTAAGTGCTACAGTAACTGTTAAAGGCGTGAAACTTCTTATCTCGTACTTTATGGTGAGTTTTCCTAGAAATTGTTTTGGTTGGCAATGAATTCCTCTAACTTTCTACCTGCACCTGTTTTCTTTCTTTTAGGTATCTCGTCATGAACGTCGAATTTCTCAGATTCAGCAGCTAAACCAGATGCCTTTGTATCCAACTGAGAAAATAATATGGGATGAAAACATTGTCCCAACCGAGTATTACTCTGGAGAAGGTACGGTAAAGAAAATTTTCCTGGTAGCATTTAGTTTTCCTTTAAAATATAAAACTTGTTTGGTTAGAGGAATAAGCTGGAACATTATCTTTGTGGAGAAGGATTCTCTGGTGAAACGATACTGGTGTTTTCGGTTAAAGCTTTAGCCAAATTTCTCAAACCATTACAAACGAGGAGATGTTACCATTCTTTGGTCCTCCAGAAAGTGAACTATCAAAAGACCTAGAGCATCCCTCCACACCGTTGCTATGTTTTTGCTCTTGACCAGGCTGCTTGTGCGTTGACTGGACCACTTCTACCTCTTGCTTGTATTTTGTCTCAAGATTTTACTGGTAAAGCTATGTTTCACTTCCTGTTGTTCACTTCTTTCAAGAAATGCTTCAGAGTCTTGATCCCACTTGTTTAAACTTCTCTTTGGCAGCTCTGCACTTGGCTGTAGCAGAAGGTTTGCTCAACTTGAATTTGTTCGTCAGCACTGGGTCAGTGGAACCACTTGACATGTTTGTGATGTTGGCTATTTCTCTGCTCTTCATCACCGAACCTCTTCAATTAGAGCCCAAGTGAAATTAGTCTTCTCTTCACATACTGATGTGGATGGCAGGCTTCATCTTCCACATCATCTCATCTTCCGGAAACACGTTATCTGTGTGTAAACTGCTTTCTCTGGGAACACTGACTCTACAGACTCGGGAAGCGTACATGACTGCCCCATGCGTCTGTCCATGCTTCACCATCCATTAGTAGCTTGCTTTGCTTCCAATTTCGCAGGATTCATGTTGCTCTGATAAGGGACTCTTTTCAAGCTGATGTTTTATCCTTCTTAGTGCCTCAGACTTAATCCTGTTCAGACAATGAAAAGTCAGTATGAATGTATTTTGGTACAAAATAATTTTAAATCCAGGAATATCTTTCCATAATAGATGTTTCCCACAGACTTTTTGAAGAACCTTCATATGCTTATGCTATATAAAATACGTTCAGAAAACAATAAGAATTGTTGAGGTTTTTTTTTATTCATTTTATTAGGGGCTCATACGACTCATCACAATCCATACATACATCAATTGTGTAAAGCACATTTGTACATTCATTGCCCTCATCATTCTCCAAACATTTGCTGTCCACTTAAGCCCTTGGCATCCGCTCCTCATTTTTCCCCCTCCCTCCCCGCTTCCCCCTCCCTCATGAACCCTTGATAATTTATAAGTTATTATTTTGTCATATCTTGCTTGTCCGACGTCTCTGTTCACCCACTCTTCTGTTGTTAGTCCCCCAGGGAGGAGGTCACATGTTGATCCGTATAATCGGTTCCCCCTTTCCAACCAACCTCCCTCTACCCTCCCGGTACCTCCACTCTCACCACTGGTCCTGAAGGGATTATCTGCCCTGGATTCCCTGTTTCCAGTTCCTATCTGTACCAGTGTACATCCTCTGGTCTA